CCTGGTATGCCAAACACAGTAACAACAAGTCTCACGATGGAGACGTTACTGGGCCCGCTCGAGCAAATCGATGAACAACGGGAGGACTGTGATTGTGACTCAAAAAAATATAAGGGAAGTGGGGCGGGGGGGGGAGGGAGGGGAGAGACAGAGACAGAAAGAGACAGAGACTGAGACAGAGCGAAAGAGAGACAGGAAGAGACAGAGACAGAGAGAGACAGGGAGAGACAGAGAGAGACAGGGAGAGACAGAGAGAGACAGAGATGTTCAAAAGAGAATAGGGCTTCTTCAGAGGGAGGAACCAAAATGCTTAATTTTTGCAAGTCCTGGCAAACACCAATGCTGGATCCAATCTGGCATGACAGTTTTTGAGTCTATGGTTTTGTTTTGGGACCACACCCTCATGCTCAGAGTAGTTCCTAGCAGTGCTTAGGGGACCACGCAGGACTGGGGAGCGATTCATGGCCTCCTACATGCAAAGCATGTGCTCAGGTCATTGAGCTATCTCCCTGGCCCTTGACATGATGTTTTAGCCCATGAGCTAAAAATAGGTTTTACATTTTTGTTTAAAAGGAACTGAGGGCCAGAGAGATAGTATGGTGAAGGTACTTGTCTTGGTCTATGCTCAGGAATCCCTCTTGACGGTGTTCAGGGGACCACATGAGGTGCTGGGGATTAAACCCAGGATGGCCATATGCAAGGCAAGAGTTGTACTACCTCTCTGACCCTTCACAAGTAAAGTTTTATTGAAGCACAGTCATGCCAGTATATTTTTATATTGACTGCAAGTTCCTGTGACAAAGCCTCGGCTTAGTTGCCACAAAGATTGTATAGCCAGCAAAATCAAAAATACTCATGATCTGGCCTTCGTAGAAAAAGTTTATTGTGTTACATATATTTCATAGTAACTCAGTAAGTGGTAATCCCCAAATTAAGATGCATAATTCTACTGTCGAAAAAAAATTTACTTAGGTTGCCCATGTTTTCTTATGTTCTTTCACAAACCCATATAATTTTATTAAAATCAGGCAAAGTTAATTTTGCATCTGCTTCCCTCCAGTATATAATTTTATAAACTTTTTAAAATATGCTATGTCACATTCAAATTTGCACATGATACAAAACCACACAGCACAGTCTGTATGATTATCTCGTGTCTGAATCTTTTTGGGGGGTGTTGGGGGCACACTTGGCAGTGCTCAGGGGTTAGTCCTGGCGCTGCTTGAGGAACCCTGTGCGATGGTGGGGATCGAACCCGGGTTGGCCACAGCAAAGCACCATCCCCGCTGAGCTATCACTCTGGCCCCGCATGCCTAAAACTTTCTCTCTTCCTCGCCTCCCCTTCCCTTCGCTGTTGCTACGTGTAGAGGAGCTCACTTGCTTGTAGGGCGCTCACACTTGTCTTAGTTTCGCTGTTCTCCGAGGGTCGCACACTTGGCTGTGAGTCCCACAGAAGTGCTGGATTGTACTTGGCATGTGGGGCAGTGTCTGAGACCAAACCCTCAGTCTCACTGGCTTTGTGTCTGCAAGACAAGTGCTCTAGCTCTGAGCTGACCTTGAGCGCCCAAACCGATATATTCTTTTTAACCCCCCCTACTTATTACAAGGCAAAGAAGGTAGATTTTCACTTCTCCATCCTTCTGACTTATTTTCTTATAATAAACTCTTAGAAATTATTTTTATCTTGTTTGTTTGTTTTGGAGCCTCACCCAGTGAGTACAAGGATCACTCTTGGCAGTGCTGGCTGACCATATGCTGAGGTAGGGATTAAATTGGGGTCAGGAGCACACAAGGCAAGTGCCTGACCTCCTGTACTATCTCTCTGACCCTTAACCTTCCTCTTATCACGGGTGACTCCACTTCTTGGCTTAGGGTAAAGTCTGCCAGTGATCTCTTTAGAACTAAGTCCAAAGTTTTTTTCTTTTTTCTTTTCTTTTTTTTTCTTCCCCATGAGTCCACTTTGAAATCACTGCTCTATATTCTTCAGGTCTTTCTCCTTCTTTTCCTTTCTTTTTTCCATCTCTCTCAACTCAAAGCTTATCTCTTCTTCCCTGGAATTTTCCCCAATGAGAGGAATACGTGCACCTCTCTGTTCCACTTTTTTCTAATATAAGTTGTTTTATTGAGCTTAGACTGAAGATGAAGTCAAGAAGAGAAAAGTGAAAACTGTCAGATGAGTCACAGTGGGAATCCTCAGTGCTTTGTGATACCCAATGGAGCTTAGAGGACCAGGTGGTGCTATGGGTCAGACAGGATCAGCTAGCCACAAGGCAGGCAGCCCAACTGCTGTACTATCTCTCTGGACCCTGAAGCCAATTTATTAAATCATGGAAGGAAAACTACGTATCTGATATGCCAAACAAAGTAACAAGTCTCACAATGTTACTGGGCCTGCTTTGATGAACAACGGGAGGACAGTGACAGTGACAGGAAGGGAAACTGATTTAGATGTAGAAAACGATGAGTGGGAACAGCAGATTGCTAAGGGCATGCCCCTGGGAATCAGCATTCTTTAGCATTCCATAGATGGTGGTCACAGAAAAGAAACACATTGGGACGGTTCTTTTGCCTGGTAAAGTGTCGTGTTAATAGGAAGTACCTTCTAGAATGCTTCTGACACTATAGGAATGGCCTGGGAATCATGGAGAAGGGCAAAGCAGCGTGCATCCATTCCAGTGGTGTCTTTCAGCTCATAAACTCTGGTGCCAGAGAGATTCAAGGCTGAGCATATGGTTTGTGGGGTAGATTCCTGGCACTGCTTAACACCCAGAGGACTGCCAGGAGTGAGCAGAGAGCTAGGGTTACCCCCCAAACCTTGGCGGGTGTAGCCACAAGGCAGCACCAACCAAAACCCAAGAGAAAAAAATAACATAATGAACTCTGAACAGCCAGTTGCTACCAAGCGACACCACCTAGAGATTGCTCTAGGCTGGTGATTTCTTCACGACACCAGTTCTTGAAAAGTCCAAAATGCTAGCATAAGTTCTGGCTGAATGGAATAAAGATAAAAACATCGCTTCAACAAAGCCTCAGGAAACCCTCTTGGAACTCAATGTGGCTCTGGCAGCCAGAGAAAGAGAGCAAAGGAAAAGCAGCCAAATGATGAATGATGGACAGAGGTTTTGTCTGATGGATTAGCTGTCCATAAAGGTGACCATCTGAGACAAGAGAAGATCAAAGTCTACAAAGGCCTAGAAGATTCAAAGACAGCAAAATAGCCCTTTTCATCCAATCCTATCATTGTGAAATTAGAGGACCAAAGAAGCTTAAATGTCTATGTAGAAACAGATCACAGGAGGACATACAGTAGACATCCACTAATGCTTGGGGGTTGGGGGCTCCCTAAGTATTTTCCAACATGTGAAAGGACTTGAGGTAGCAGAAAGCAGAATTGGGGTGGGGTCAACCAATCCATCTCAATGGTCTTTTTGCTGTTGTTGCTTTGGGTTCACATCCAGCAGTTCTCAGGTTTACTGCCTGGCTCTGCACCCAGACATCAATCCTGACAGGCTCAGAGAACCATGTAGGGTGCCAGGCACTGGAACCTGGGTCTGCTGTGGGCAAGGCAAGCGCCCTGCCCACCGTATTATCACTCCTGTCAACGGGCTTTTTGATTTAAAAACTGTAAGTCTAGTGTAGGCCCCAGTAGCTGTGAGTACAATCAGGGAAAGAGAGCAAAAACCCAGAAGACATTCAAAGGAATAAAAAGGCTAATATCAAATCTGATTCTGATTCCAGTTTGAAAATAAATCCAAGGGTTAAAGATTAATAATTATTGAGGGATACGTTAAAAAATGTTCCAGGGGGGCTGGAGCGATGATAGCACAGCGGGTAGGGCATTTGCCTTGCATGCGGCCGACCCCAGTTTGATTCCCAGCATCCCATATGGTCCCCCAAGCACCGCCAGGAGCAATGCCTGAGTGCATGAGCCAGGAGTAACCCCTGTGCATAGCTGGGTGTGACCCAAAAAGCAAAAAAAAAAAAATGTTCCGGGGGTGTTAAAGCACCAGGTTTTGCATCTCAGGCACCAAGCGGCCTCTGAGCACTGCAAGACGTGGCCTGGAAGGCGGCCCCCAGCCCTCCACATAGCAGGGCTTGGCATGATGGCATTTGGGGCCCAAGTACTGAACCATGGGCCTGAGGAAGGGAGGATTGTAGGGAGGGGCTTGAGTAGTCCAGTGAGCACCCCTTGGAAGCCTCCCCAAGAATGTTTGGGGCACAATCCCTAATTTTGGTGATCCATGTATTACATATAACGTGCATCATGTCTTTGCAAGAAATATTAGCCCGTAGTCTGACTCGGATGGATCAAACAAGACTTGCCTAAACAAGACGGGGACGCATCCGGGTTCCCACCGGCAGAAAGCGACCGTTACTGGCTGAAACGGGGGTTAGGTTACTCGGATTTCACCCACAGCACAAACCCTTTCAAGGGTGTTCAGTTAACAGAGTCGGAGGATCCTTTTCCGACCGTTACCCGCGTGTTGACCTGTGAGCAGCCCGGGGCTAGCGGGTCCTCACTGACCTTCCTTCTGGATTGAACACAAAACCGGGTTCTAACCGTACGGGGGTCGCGGGCAGGTCATCGCCAGCGGGTCACTGGACCGGAGATGCCGAACCCGAGCTGCAGCCCCCCGCGGGCCCTGAGGAGGAGGAGGGGCTCGTACGCGCCCCCGTCCCGCAAGGGCGAGACCGGGGAGGCCCCGCTCCCCAGCAGCGCCCTCCCGTTACCTGCTCGGCCCGGGCGTAGAAACTTTGAGCCCCGCCCTCCGCGCCCCGGCCCCGCCCCGCCCACCTGGGCGCCCGGCCTCTGACGTCACGCCCGGCTTCAGCGGGCCGCAGGGTCCCGGCTCCCGATTGGCCGGCGCGGGCGCGGCCGGCGCCGCCCGCCAATGGCAGCGGCGCGGGGCGGGGGGTGCCCACACCCAAGATGGCGCCCCCGGGAGCCGGGAGCGGGTGAGCGGCGGCGGGCAAGCGGCCTGGGTCGGCCTCGGATCGCGGGGTCGGGCGCGCCCCCTCGGCCCGGCCCGCCGCCCCCGGCCCGGCTCGGCCCGCGCCATGGCCGCCGAGGGCAGCAAGCAGTTCTGGAAGAGGAGCGCCAAGCTGCCGGGGAGGTGCGAGCGCGGCGCCGGGCGGCGGGCGGGCGGGGGCGGCGCTGGCGGGCCGGGCCGGCGGGCGGGCGGGCGGGGGTCGCGCACAGGTGCCGCCCGCCCCCCGGCCCGCGACGCCTCCGGGAACTTGGGGCGCCGCCGGGCCGGGACGCGGGAGCCCCCCGCGCCCCCCGCGCGCCCCCCCACCCCCGCCGGCCGCGCGCGGCTCGGGGTGCGGGAGCCTCCGCCGGGCCGGGCTGGGCTGGGCTGGGCTGGGCCGGGCCGGCCCGCGGCCACTCGGCCCCTCGGGCTCTCTCGGGCTCCGCGGCCAGCCGGACGCGGGGACGCGGGGCCGCGGGACAGCCGGGCGCCCCCAGCCCCCCGGGCGTCCCGGTCCCGGCGTGCTCGGGCCAGAGCGACTCGCGGGCACGGGACGGGAGCGCGTTCGGGTCCGGGTCCGGGGAGAGGCTGCCGCCCTCCCGCAACTTGGCGGCGGGGGGATCCCGCCGCTCCTCGTCCGTTTCAGGGCTTTTGCTCCCGTCGTGTGTGTGTCTGTGTCTGTGTGTGTGTGTGTCTCTGTGTCTGTGTGTGTCTGTGTCTGTGCGTGTGTGTGAGATTTCCCAGCGCAGAGTGGGATGGCTCCGTGCTGACCCACAACAGACCCTGCAGCCTGCCAGGCACATGGAAGGTAGCCTGGGACTTTGTGTGTGTGTGTGTGTGTGCGCGCATGAGACATAGCCCAGTGCTGACCCACAACAGACCCTGCAGCCTGCCAGGCACATGGAAGATAGCCTGGGACTTCGTGTGTGTGTGCGCGTGTCTGTGTCTGTGTGTGTGCACGTGTGTGTGTGTGTGTTTTCCCAGCGCAGAGTGGGGTGGCTCAGTGCTGACCCACAACAGACTAGCCTGGGACTTCGTGTGTGTGTGTGTTTTCCCAGCGCAGAGTGGGGTGGCTCAGTGCTGACCCACAACAGACTAGCCTGGGACTTCGTGTGTGTGTGTGTGTGTTTTCCCAGCACAGTGTGGGGTGGCTCAGTGCTGACCCACAACAGACCCTGCAGCCTGCCAAGCACATGGAAGGTAGCCTGGGACTTCATGTGTGTGTGCGTGTCTGTGTCTGTGTGTGTGCGTGTCTGTGTGTGTTTTCCCAGCGCAGAGTGGGATGGCTCAGTGCTGACCCACAACAGACCCTGCAGCCTGCCAGGCACATGGAAGATAGCCTGGGACTTCGTGTGTGTGTGCGCGTGTCTGTGTCTGTGTGTGTGCACGTGTGTGTGTGTGTGTGTTTTCCCAGCGCAGAGTGGGGTGGCTCAGTGCTGACCCACAACAGACTAGCCTGGGACTTCGTGTGTGTGTGTGTTTTCCCAGCGCAGAGTGGGGTGGCTCAGTGCTGACCCACAACAGACTAGCCTGGGACTTCGTGTGTGTGTGTGTGTGTTTTCCCAGCACAGTGTGGGGTGGCTCAGTGCTGACCCACAACAGACCCTGCAGCCTGCCAAGCACATGGAAGGTAGCCTGGGACTTCATGTGTGTGTGCGTGTCTGTGTCTGTGTGTGTGCGTGTCTGTGTGTGTTTTCCCAGCGCAGAGTGGGATGGCTCAGTGCTGACCCACAACAGACCCTGCAGCCTGCCAGGCACATGGAAGATAGCCTGGGACTTCGTGTGTGTGTGCGCGTGTCTGTGTCTGTGTGTGTGCACGTGTGTGTGTGTGTTTTCCCAGCGCAGAGTGGGGTGGCTCAGTGCTGACCCACAACAGACTAGCCTGGGACTTCATGTGTGTGTGTGTTTTCCCAGCGCAGAGTGGGGTGGCTCAGTGCTGACCCACAACAGACTAGCCTGGGACTTCGTGTGTGTGTGTGTGTGTTTTCCCAGCACAGTGTGGGGTGGCTCAGTGCTGACCCACAACAGACCCTGCAGCCTGCCAAGCACATGGAAGGTAGCCTGGGACTTCATGTGTGTGTGCGTGTCTGTGTCTGTGTGTGTGCGTGTCTGTGTGTGTTTTCCCAGCGCAGAGTGGGATGGCTCAGTGCTGACCCACAACAGACCCTGCAGCCTGCCAAGCACATGGAAGGTAGCCTGGGACTTCGTGTGTGTGTGCGTGTGTCTGTGTCTCTGTGTGTGCGTGTGTGTGTGTTTTCCCAGCGCAGAGTGGGGTGGCTCAGTGCTGACCCACAACAGACTAGCCTGGGACTTCGTGTGTGTGTGCATGTCAGTGTCTGTGTGTGTGCGTGTGTGTGTGTTTTCCCAGCACAGAGTGGGGTGGCTCAGTGCTGACCCACAACAGACTAGCCTGGGACTTCGTGTGTGTGTGTGTCAGTGTCTGTGTGTGTGCGTGTGTGTGTGTGTTTTCCCAGCGCAGAGTGGGATGGCTCACTGCTGACCCACAACAGACCCTGCAGCCTGCCAGGCATATGGAAGGTAGCCTGGGACTTCGTGTGTGTGTCTGTGTGTGTGTGCACGTGTCTGTGTCTGTGTGTGTGCGTGTGTGTGTGTGTGTGTGTGTTTTCCCAGCGCAGAGTGAGATGGCTCACTGCTGACCCACAACAGACCCTGCAGCCTGCCAGGCATATGGAAGGTAGCCTGGGACTTCGTGTGTGTGTCTGTGTGTGTGTGCACGTGTCTGTGTCTGTGTGTGTGCGTGTGTGTGTGTGTGTGTGTGTTTTCCCAGCGCAGAGTGAGATGGCTCAATGCTGACCCACAACAGACCCTGCAGCCTGCCAGGCATATGGAAGGTAACCTGGGACTTCGTGTGTGTGCGCGCGCGTGTCTGTGTCTGTGTGTGTGCATGTGTGTGTGTGTGTTTTCCCAGCGCAGAGTGGGATGGCTCAGTGCTGACCCACAACAGACCCTGCAGCCTGCCAGGCACATGGAAGATAACCTGGGACTTTGTGTGTGTGTGTGTGTGTGTGTGTGTGTGTGTGTGTGTGTTTTCCCAGCACAGAGTGGGGTGGCTCAGTGCTGACACAGCAGTCCCTGCGACAGGCCAGGCATACGGAAGGTAGCCTGGGACCCCATGTTAGCGGGACACTCTGGGGGATGCAGGGATCGCTTCAGAGGAAAGTGCTGAGGACTTGCGCGGTCCTTCGCGCTGGAGACGGCTGTGTTTTCAGATAAGCACCACTTCCTGCCAACTGATTCCTTTTCCTTTCTGGTCTGGTGAACCCTCCAGTCTAGCTAACAGCGATTGTGTGGGGTTTTCCACGGTGAGATCACTGAATTTTGACATCCTAGGGCTAGAGTCAAAACCAGTAGCTACACTGTGAGGTCAGGAAGCTGTGTGTGAGAGCTGGGACAGGGTTTCGTGCTGAGGCTGACAGCAATCTTTTGTCTTCTGCCTTTCCTCACTTACGCTCTAGGAGCTGTTTACTTTTTCAAAGCACTGCCTTTGTGAGATAGGCAGATTTTCATTTCTTTACACGTCTCTATCACTTGATGACTGTGGAAGGATGGAAGAGGGAACATTTGAGGTCAGAAAGACTTGGCTAGACTCTGGCCTGTGTGATCAAGCATGAATGATTTACTCCGTCTCTCTCTGGGCTGGGTTTTCTTGTGTATGAAATAAAGGTAAAATACTTTCCTCAGGACTGTTGTAGTGGCTAAAATTAAGGATTGTATGTTTTTGTCTTGTTTGGGGGCCGCATGTTCAGGGTTACTCCTAGTTTGGCACTCAAGAGTCACTGCTCCAGGACCATAATGGAATGCAGGGATTAAACTTGGCTTGGCTGTGTGCAAGGCAAACGCCCTCCCCGCTGTATTCTCTCTCTCTCTCCAGCCCCTAAACTTTGTATTTGTTGATTTCCTAGGCCAATATTAATTTAGTACATTATAGTTGCTCAATAAATACTAGTCACTGTGGCTGGAGAGATTGTACAGGGGGCAGTTGCCTTGCCTGCAGCCAACCTGGTTTGTCTGGCATGATTCCTTAAGCTCTGCCAGGGGCCGTTCCTGAGCATAGAGCCTGGACTAGCACCCCTGGGTGTAGCCTCCAGACCAAATAACAAATAGTAGTTATTATTACCCCTGTTGTTAAAGTAAAGTAAATATTTAAAAGAATGTTTCTCAGTTGTCTGCACTTGCACTCTGGGACTCATTGTCACTGTTAATCATAAGGCATTAAATGTTGCCACAGTTCCTAATAGTTTTTAGTAGTTGTCAGAGAATTATTGTTGGGCTGTGTACATCGTAGTGGGGAAGCCCCAAGAGCCTCTGGTTACAGGAGAAAAGGAGAGTTCTTTGACTTGGAAACTGTTTTGATTTAAGGGAAAGCTTACGGCATTTTTTCAAGAATAGAGTTGTTGCATTGGTGCTCTTTTGGTCTTAGTGAAGAAAAGCTTTCTCCTGGATGGACAAGGCACCCTCCTCCCTCCTCCCCCCCCCCCCCCCCAACTGTGGCTGTTTGAAGCATATCTTCCTCTCTCTTGCAGACTGAAAGGCAGGTATTCTTGTGGTGAAGACTTACTTTCGGTTTCTTTGATTTCCATTCAACAACCTGAAAGACAGCAAGCAGACTATTTGCTAGTACTCTAGGTGAAAAATCAAATAAACATTTTTGGGGAGGGGCTGGGAGTGGGGGCCAGAGTGGTTTTTGAATTATACTTAGACTGGAATCTTCCCCTGGTGGTACTTATGGGGCCATTTCAGTGTTGAGGGTCAGGTCTGGGCTCTCACCTGCAAAACATGTACGCGACCCTTTGAGCAATCTCTTAGCCCTAAACATCCTTTAAAACAATAGTTTTGATTAACACACCATAAAAATGTAACCTGTAAAAATGTGCGAATCAGTAGTTTTAAGTATATTAGTCCATAGTATATATGGTTTTGTGCAATTGAAGTGACTTTGTTTTTTCAACTGAGGTTTTGTGATTTATCGTACTGTTAATGACAGTTCCTCACACGCATAATTCCAACTCCACACCGTCACCAGTGTACCTTCCTCCTTCCCCAAGAACCCCAGTGCCCCCTCAAGAATTTAGTAACATTTTATCATCCCACAAAGAAACTTTGTGTCCATTAGGTTTAACTTC